GTCTAACGAACTTCCCCAAGTCTTTGCCTGGATTTTGTCAGTTTTGAGCTTACATGGGACTTGTGCATGCTGTCACCACTGCTGTGAGTTTATATGAGTAACTGGCCAGCTGTCTGGAAAACTATTTCCTTGTGGTCATCCATCACCTCTGGTTCTTACAATCTTTCTGTCATATGGTGGGTATTTAAAGGCATATTATCTGTATTTCTGTTACCTGTTCCCAGAGCTGGGGCTGATCATTGTGTCCAGACAAGTAACTTGCTAGCACAGGGAGTCCAAGTTTCTGAGTCCAGCAAGTCCCCCACAGTTCTGAGGAAAGTCCCCTCTCAGAGAACTGGATGGTTAGGCATGGCTCCTGACTTAATGATCCAGGTATTGTTTCAGGAATTCAGGGGTGATAGAAAAAGGCTCCCAGGCCCACGTGCTTTCTAGAATCAAGGATGGGACCATTCATGGCCAGTGGGCAAGTCTATCATCCTAACGCTAGTCATGGTAGGTAGGCTTCTCACACTGAAATCAACTCTGTCTCCATTTCTTGAGTAAAAGTCAAGAATGGACCGAGGGATATCCTAAAACTATTGCCACTTAGGTCATGATGAGGATTTATAAAGTAAGAAGAGCTGGTTCTTGGATTCCTTCTTTTTAGAAAAGTAAGTGAAGGTTGAGTATTTTCAGCTGGTGACTCCTTCAGTTTCCCCCAGTGGCCCTCTAAGAAAATACAAAATATTACCATTGACAAGAAAGAGACTCAGAAGATGACCAAGAAGCTCAAAGTCTTTTAGCCCCTTAAGCCTGTCCAACTCCAAAGTCTCTGCACTGCTCCTGGCTTTCAGTGCATATCCTAGTGATGGTGACTTGGACACTGCTCATTTGACACTAAAGATCACAGAACATCTGCCACTGTACTCATTGTGGCACAGATGTGGTCCAGTCTCCAGAGCCTTCACTACAACGTCTGGTTTTCAAGTGAATCGGGTTGAAGAGTCACCCTGTTCTGTGTGTGAGTTACCATCATTTTCTCATTCATCTTTAGTCCAGATGGCATCAGCGCTGTTTTGGTCTTTGCTTCTCACACGACAGTGTAATTGCAAGCTCGCAGAGGGCCTGGATGCTGGAAGGTGAGGCTGCTCTTTTCACTTCGTATCATTGAGTAAGAGGAAGACTGCCCAACTGCAAATGTTTTTCGTGCAACGCCCCACCTGAACCAAAACACTTGCACAGTCATACTTCCATTGCTGGCAATTTGCTGAAGTGGAGTTTGTAATTAAAATCCTCCTTGGCTTCTGTAGTTTCTTTCCAACTCAAGCTACATGCTTCAAGGGCCTATTATGTTTAACAGAGCAACTGTAAAATGGGAATTAAGAAATTTAGGGTTGAAAGCCACAACTGAAAGGCATACTAATAAATATTCCCGGGTTATTTCTATATAAAATAGCCTTTGATAACCAGACCCTTCCAAGGTTTCGTGTGTGTTGGAAAATAAGCACCACCAGAGCTCACTTATACCTGATATAATTATTCCCTATCCTGCTTTTTCTGAGATCACAAAACAAGATTATTCCACCAAAGGCAAATAATACTTAGAAACAATTAGGAAAAGTTAATAAAAGGAATAATTAAAAGAATTTTGAATAACAGTGTATCAGACACATTTGTGTTTGGGATGAATATCATTTCATGAGAATAATTCCGGCTGATGTGAATCTTCATTCTCTTACAGCTCATCTAGTTGCCAAAACATTTTTTCCTCTGTAAGATTGTGAAATAAAGTACATTTTGTTTCCCACCAGATTCGATAGTGTTTCACATTGCCATATTTAGACTTTCCCATTACAGTAATACAGCAGGGAGATGCTTCTGGAAACACTCCTCTTTTTCAGCACATTATGTGTAAGCACCCCCCCACCTCAACCCACATTTATATCTGCTTGATTCCTTTTCCCAAACTTATAACCACATTTTGAAATATTCCCATTTAAACTCTTCTGTCTAGACTCTTCTTTTAAAACCCAGGAGAATGTATGTGCTTTGGAGAGAACATGCGCTCCTCTTTTTTAGCACATTATGTGTAAGCACCCCCCCCCAACCCGCATTTATATCTGCTTGATTCCTTTTCCCAAACTTATAACCACATTTTGAAATATTCCCATTTAAACTCTTCTGTCTAGACTCTTCTTTTAAAACCCAGGAGAATGTATGTGCTTTGGAGAGAATATGCTACAAACCCCACTTGAACTTGAGATGGCTTCCGGACATGCTTCCCAGGAGTAGAGAATATTCTTTAACCTCTATGTATGTGCATGGTGAAAATAAACAAATGTTTCTTTGCTTTCCAGGATGTTTTACTCTGGGATACTTTCACCTCTTGGGAAGCAAGCATTTACCCTATTCAGACACCAAGGACGTGGCATGCTTCTCTGGCTTCATTCCAGTTTGTCTGTCATTATAGCTAAGGACAAAAAAGTTTCACATAAAGGTAATTGTTTCTAGAAAGATTTTCTCTTCAAAGGGGACTGTCAATATGAATTTTTTTTATCTTCTGAAAGGTTTCAAAATGCTTTGAGTTAATTAGTGCAAAATAATAAATATACTTATTTCAAAGAATCAAAACCACATTAGTATTATTTCCAGTGTCACAAAATTACATGTCCTCATCATTTTTCTAAATCATACTTCTATAACACAGAATGGATAACATGGCACTCCATAAAGCTTTGAATTATAAATACAACAACAGCAGTCTTAAGGAACAGAACCAACCTTGACTCATGGAATACTCGATGACTTTATAGTCACATCAAACTCAGGATTCTTCCCCATCTGCTCTGTGCCACTTGTAAAGTATTTTTTCTCTACTTTCAGCCATGCTGTTCCATTGTATTTCTTAGATCCTCATGCTGTCGAGGGGTTAGGTGTGGAGTGATGCTTGCCTATTCTAGCCCACAGTGTTTACTTGCCAGCATCAACTCTCAGGAGCTTTTGGGATTTGTTTTCTACTTGGTGACTGGCAACATTCAAGGCAGTGGCAGCATCACCAGCCTGAGTTCTGGGGTCACAGGAATGGACGCAGGTAGTCATCAGAGGAGTGGGTATGCAGCCTGAGTCAAACAAACCTGTGAGCCGATAAGCCACTGAGACCTTGTGTGTGTTTGCCACTGCTCCTACTGCATCATTCATTCTATCAAGAGTGAAGACAAAACAGACTCTAAGAGACAAAGATCAAGTATGTTTGGGACACAAACTTTTATGCATCCTTGGCTATTACAGTGATATCTTTGTTAATCAACTAACCTAGGGGCCTGCATGGTAACTTTGTGTAATTTAGGCTAAATCCTAACATTGGAATGTGTGTCCTAAAGAAAAGAACCTAACCTGTACTTTTGAATCACTGTCTTTTGTGGCTTGGTACCAGTACAAGGATTCATTTAATTTAAAGTAGGCAAAAGTGTGTTTGGGCCTGATTCTTTATTGTATTATTTTTCCTTCTTACGAAGGCTTACTCATACTAAAGTCCTGAAGGTTTTTTTTGTTTGTTTTGCTTTGTTTATTTTTTGTTTTTTTTTGAATCAGGTTTCATCTTGTAGTCCAGACTGGCATTGAACTTGTATGAATCCTCTTGCCTCAGCCTCCAGAAAGCTGAGATTACAGGCATGGGCCGCTATACCCAGTCCTAATAATTCTATTTTGGATGTTTTAAAACCACTTAATTCTTTATTTTATTTTATTAGGGTGTATGTGGAATATTAACACACCAGTGTAAGCTGATGCCTCTGTGGTTGTGCAGAAGCTGAAGGAGGACGCTGGACATCCATTACTGTCACTGCTCCATTACTGTCTACCCTATTCACTGGATATAGGGTTTCTCTCCAAACCTGGAGCCAGGCTGACATCCAGGAAGCCCCAGTGATCCTCCTGTCTCTGCCCCCATAGTGCTGGGGTTATAGACTCCCTGCATGCCTGGTCTCTGCGTGGGTGCCATGTGTTAGAACTCAGGTCCTCATGCTTGTATTGCAAGCACTTTTACCTGCTGAGCCATCTCCCCAGGCCTAAACCACTGACTTCCTTTTACAGGACAAAGGATTTAGACAGTAACTTCCTTTTTGGAAGAACTTTCTCACAAAATAGTAGTAATTATATTTAACTGACAGTGTGGATGTGCATGTCAATAATACAGCGAACAATGTTTTGTTAAGTCCCAAATCCTCTAGTCTCTCCTTTGGTGACTGTAGTCTTTGGAGATAGACAAGTAGATAATCCCACATTTTACAGATGAAGAAATCTTGCTGCTGAGAGGTACTATGACTTGCCTAGAGCAATCTGTGTGTGGTAAAGCTGGGCTTGAGCCCAGGCCTTTGGACTCCCATTCCATAGCATCTTCCGCTTTCTCAGAACTGGAGAAAAGTGAGCATCTTATGAGGACTAATAAATGTGTGGATATTAGAGTCATGAATGGAGTAGTGGTTTAGGCTCCCTACATTTTTTTAGTACCCATTGGAAGGTAGGAAGTATCTTCCTTGCTGATTTATTTAGATCTGTCAGCGGAGAAGTTTGTAGAAGAGAAATAATTACTGTCATAGAAAGAGTTAAATTCCAGAAGGTTCATGGTGCAGATGAGATAACCGTCATGCAGCTAGAGCGTTTGTGTGTGTGTGTGTGTGTGTGTGTGGCTGTTTGTCTACGCCCAAGTGTGAACTCAATAACTGGGTGGAGGTACTTAGGAAGGCGCCTGAGCACTTCATCTTGCCCCACATTCTGCATGTTCATTTCAGAATCTGACTCTCACTAAGTACAAATTATTTATGCATATGAACTTGCTCTAAGCTAAATCAATTTAAGTAAATATTTGATGAGTTTGCTTTACTGTGTGCTGTGATGTTTTTCTCATATTGATGGTGAGAATCTATTGGTTGTCTCAGCAAAACATTACAGTGAAGACTTGGTGTCCAGTTTGAATGAGCAGTAGTGATTAGTAGAAGGAATATGTCACTCATAGGAAATTTAAATGTGTGTTAAAAGATGATCAACGAGCTAGGACATTATGAATTTGCAGAATGTGGGGAGGTTCTGGATGTGGGTAGCAGCAGAATTTGGGCACTAGAAGCAAATACAATTGATCGTAATATCTGTGTCACGTGTTCTAGAAGATCATTGCGAACAATGAGTTACTGAATGGTGAACAAAACAATGGTTTCAGAGGAAATACAGCTTAGATTCCTGCAAGACTCTGGTATCTTCATTAGATGATGTGATGGTGAGTCCTAATTGTCAACTTGACACACTTTAGAATGACCTGGGAAGACAGTCTTAAGGAGGAAGTGTTAAGATTGGGTTGGCCTCTGGGCATTCTGGGGCAGAGATTATCTTGAGTGCTGTGATTGATGTGGGAAGACCCCACAGCCTGAAAATGAGTAGTACTGTTGTCTGTTTTGGCGTCCTGACTCTGTAAGAGAAGAGGAAGCTATCAGAATGCTAAGCATGCATGCATCTCTCTGTGATCAGCTGTTTTAAGCTCCTGCTGCCTTGACTTCCCAGCCATGGTGGACTGTCACCTGGAATTGGGAGCAAAAATGAACCCTTTCTCCCCTAAGCTGGCTTTTGTCAGGGTGCTTTAATACAGCAATGTAAATGAAAGAAAAGATAATTAATGCATAGCCTTGCTTTCTGTGTGCTTATAAACAGCATATATTTATAGATATACAGTCTCTGCACATAGTACTTAAGTATGTACTTATAGTAATTTTATTCAGTTATATATTTATAAGTGGAACATATTGTAAAGAAAAATATTTGTATGTATCTATGATATTGATGTTGGACTCCTGGACAACAGCACTATGCCTCATGCTCAACAAAGCATACGTAGCAGGCATATTTTCTCCAGACAGTACATCATATCCTTCTTGTACTGGGAAGCATTAGACAACATTTTAGGCCTGTGCCTGGAGGCCATTTCAATGGTGACACTCCTACGAAAGCGCAAGTCCCAAACCATGGCGCTAGACAGAAGGTGAAGGATACTTGTTGAGAATATGAGAGCTGTCACACCCAGTGTTGTTCTGTTTAGCTTCAACTGGGACCCTGTATACTGAGCAACCCCAACTTCTGCTTCTGCACATTGTGAATGACTGACTGGAAGAGCTCTGAATGAACTCATTCTGGGGTAACAAGTACATTTTAGCAGGCAGGCAAATATGCACATACTGAGTCCATGGTAAGGGAGATGGGCTGTGATGGAGTTTGCGTCTTTTCTGCTACTTCTTAGCTTGGCCAGGTCCCCGCAAGATTTCTGAGCCTACGTTTCCTCAAGTATAAAGTGATGATGACAGGAACTGATGGCAGAGGGTGGAGGACCCTGTGATAATGTGTGTGAGGGACAGACATAGTGTAAGTAGACATTTAGTAAAGAATGGGAGCATTATCTGCCTGGAGATGCACAGGAAGGAGGAAACACCTCAGTGGAACAGGAAAAGAACAAATGTACACACACAAATCTGCTTTCAAATCCAGGGTGCATCTTGTGGCACTTGTAGCTGTGTGACCCTGGGCAAGTTATCTTTGGTGAGACTCTCTATTATGTCTTATAAAATGAGCAAACGAATATAAAACTTATTAGTAGTGGGTCTAGTGTGTAAATGCAATTGGAAAACTGAGCATCTTGTCCCTCTTCGTGTTATCACTTCAAATAGAATTTCTGTCCACTGAATGTAGACATGTAACATGTTTGAATAAAGGACTGTATCTTTTCAACTTGACTGGTAGCTGTATAACATAGGAAGCGGAGTCAAAGACAGGTAGATCCTGATGGTCAAACACACACATGCTTGCTACCCTTCCCTGTGAAAAAATAGAAAAAGAAACAAGGAACGATTTTTTGTAGTTTTATAGTGATTTTTAAAAGTAGGATTGGGGAATTATAATGTGAATGAGAAAAATAAACACGATCAGTATTCTTTAAAACAGCACTAAATTTGTTTCATTTAGAGAGGTTCCTATTACACTTTGTAAAGGACAATGAATCAATTAGAAGAACTTTATCTTAAGTTGGTAGAAGAAAGGAGCTGACACCTGAGTCACAGGGTAAGTGACAACTAGTGAATTGGTGGGGCACTGCTTTGATGAGCTGGGGTCAGAAGATGGCTTCCACATAGATGGGAAAAAGATCACTGATAGCCTACATTCAAGATAAGCTGGAATGTTCAGCCAGAGAATTAAGAAGCAGGTGACAGAAGGAACTGAACGATTTAAAATCTTTCTCTAGTAGACATTTCTTGGTTTTATTACACAGTCTACTTAGGTGATATCTGTTGATCACATAGATCCAAGCACAAATAAGACAATCTTGTGGAATGTCTCTGACTCCTGGAGAAGACTGATGGGGACTACATCTCCAATTCTGGGGATCACCTTAATCTTGGGGCTTTGAGGCAGGTAAAGAGAATCAAAAACAAAACCACACAAGGTCTGTTTGAACATTTAAACTGATTTAAAATGGTGATGAGCCCAGTCATTCTCTAAGGGCTCTTCAGGACTGGAGAGACATTCTTCAGATCAAAGTAAGAAAACCATTTCTGAGCTCTGCTTCTTGAGCCCTTATTCTATTCAAGGCATGCTCTAAAGCCCCCTTTATGTGCTTTCGGGGCTAGAGATCTGGGCTTATTGCATTGACTTTACCGTACCCAAGTCCTGAAACATTTACATGTGATCTTTTCTTACTCAATTTACTTTGCAAAAAGCACATTTGAACCAAAACAGTGACCCTAACAATTAAGTCTGCACAGTCATTAATCTTCATGAAAATGGCTGAGAAATAATATCCCCATTTTGTTTCTAATAAAACTTCAGCTATGGGGGCTGGAGAGATGGCTCAGCAGTTAAGATCACTGACTGCTTTTGGGTTTGAATCCCAGCACCCAATGGCAGCTAACAACTGTTTGTAACTCAGGTTGCAGTGGATCCAACTCCCTCTTCTGACCTCCTCAGGCATTGTACAACATGGGTATGCTTGCATACATGCAGGCAAAACACTCATATATATAAAATAAAAATAGTAAATAAAATATTAACACCCCCCCCAAACTTCAGCCATGACTAGATCAGCTAGAATTGATTAGAAAAGTAGAATTAAAAAAAAAAACCCTATCACTAGATAAAAAAAACACATGGCCAAGAACTAGGAAGTTCTTGACTTCTAATTCAGATTGCTTCTGACAGAATAGATTGTGCTATTCATGCTCATTATAAAATAATGATATTCAATGGCTGTTTAATTAATGCAAATGAACAAGTTTTTAATCATACCCTTGACTATTACCCAACTGAAACTTGTGCCTTCAAGCTTCATTGTAAAAGCTTTGCTCTTACTAATTACAATATCTCGTTAAGTACTGTTGGTCTGCACCCAGAAAATCATACATCTTTTTAGAAAAGTCAACCAAATTTAATAATCTGCTTTGTAGAAATTTTTAGTGAATGCAAACAGGGGTTTAGATATGAAAACAGAAGATTCAAATATGATCATGTCACATAAGAATAGTTTAAAATAAAGTTTCATGGTACCCACGATGCTGTGTGTACACTGGGTTGTGACAATCATTTGTTTCCAATGACATGTTTTACATTTCGAGTCATGCTACTATTAAGTCACTTCTGATTTAATGTCAGTCCATGAAAAATCACTAGGATTAGAGATGCCATCTTTCCTCACTTCAACTTTACAAGAAGTAAATGTTAGCAGTTTTCATTAGTACAATTTTACTTATATTTAATTTGTCTATCAGTTCTATAAAACAATGATATTCTATTATAATAAATTATTTGGGGGATATTATGGAATCAATCCTTACTAATTAGGTGATAAAGATTCCCTCCTATACATTCCCACTTAACAGGTCAGGCTTTTCTGCCTCTTTATAGATTTAGGTTTGCTAAAAGTAAATTTTCCTATGACTCTAATACAGAGACCCTCACATGGAATTGTAGCCATTAGACAACATTTATCTTAAGAGAGAAATTAGGCTGAAGTCCCTTGTCCTTGTATGACAAAAGCTTAGGGATCTACTGAATACTTTTATAAGTCTGCTCAGAAGACTGGTTATGATGCTGAGAAAGAAATCAGGAAAACAATTCAACTCACAAAAATCTTAAAAAATATCTAGGAATAACCCTACCCAAGAAAGTGAAAGAATTCTACAACAAACATCTTAAAACACTGAACAATGAAATTAAGATAAAACTATAAGATAGAAAGATCTCTGATGTTCACAGATTGACAGAATTAATATTGTGAAAATGGCTGTATGACCTAAAAAAACCTACAGATTCAATGCAATCTCCATCCCAAGTTACAATAATGTTTGTCATGGAAATAGAAAAAAAGTTCTTCAATCAAAATGCAAGTGAAAATACCTTAACTACCCTGGCCAATCCCAAGCAAAAAGAGCAGTGCTGGCAGTACCACAATGTTAATTTCAAAGTAAGGAAACTAGCATGGTGCCAGCACAAAAACCGACATGCAAACCAAAGAAATAGAAGATCCAGAAATAAGCCCATATAAGAATAACTACTTGACTTCTTACAAGGGGCCAAAAACATAGATTGTAGGAAAGACAACCTGTTCATCAAATGGTGCTGGAAAAACTGAATATCCTTATGCAGAAGCAGGAAACTAAATCCCTGCTTCTCACCTTGCAAAAAAGTCAATTCAAAATGGATCAAGGACCTGAAACTCTGAAAACGCTAGAGTAAATAGCTTCAGGATAAATGCATTGACGAAGACTTTCTGGAAAGGACTCTAATAACTCAGGAAATAATTCCAACAATTGACTAATGGGATGGCATAAAACTAAAATGTTTCTGTAGAGAAAAGAATACAACAAAGTGAAGAGATAGCTCACACAAAGGAAAAAAATCTTTGCTAACTATACATCTGACAATATATACTGGGAATATATAAATAATTAAAAACTTAAACAAATCATCCAATCAATAAATGGGCAAATGAATTAAACAAACAGTTCTCAAAAGCAGAAATACAAATGGTCAATAAACACATGAAAAATGTTGAACGTCTGTAACTGTCTGGGAAATGCAAATCAAAAGCACGTTGAGATTCTGTTTTAACTCAGAATCATTAGGAAAACAACCGCAGATGCTGGTGGAGACTGGGGAGAGGAACCTTGATACACTGTTGGTGCAAATGTAAGTTAGTCCACCCATTAGTAATCAGTATATACATTCCTCAAGAGACCAAGAATAGACTATGGCAGGACCCAGGTATAGCATTCCTGGTTACCTACATGAATGAATCTAACTCAGCATGCCTGCACATCCATGTTTGTTGTGGTACTTCACAATAGCTAAGATATTGAGTCAACTTAAGTATCCATCGACAGATGAGTAATAGAGAAACTTTGGTGTATGTGCACAATAGAATTTTATGCAGCTTCAGAGAGGAACAAAGTATTTCATTTGGAAGAAATGGAAGTGGAGACTGCCTTGTTAAGTAAACCTGACTCAGAAAGGTTACTATTGAATGTTTTGTCTTCTATGCAGAATGCAGATTATTTGGAGAGAGGAAGGAGAGTAACAGGAGTGGAGG